ATGTTTCCAAAGTCTTGCGTGGAGAATTTTAAATCTGGAAACTTTTACATCGTCAAAATGTACAATGTCTGCAACCCGGCGACGAAGCGCAACGGTGAAATTTCTGTGAGTAGTTACTGCAAATACATAATCATAATGCAGATTTTATTGATTTGGTTTTGTGGTCAGATGAATCGCTTTTTACGAGGAGTGGAACCTTTAATTCTCATAATAAACATATCTCCGTTCTGTAAGAATCCACTCGATTCAACACAGGTTTTCTAGAAATATCTAGAGCGGCATTTTCAATAGCCAACTGTTTACGCACGTATTGCCATAACGTTTAAATGCAAACTCATACTTAGCTTTTCTAGAGAATTAAATAGAAAATGTGTTAGATGATGTTCCGTCAGCAACGAGAGTACAAATGTGGTATCAGCAGGACGGTGCATCACCGCATGTTCGTAGACATAACCACATTGTTAGATAATCATTTTAGACTTGCAGAAATGGACCCGTACATTGGCCTGCGAGGTCTCCTGGTTTGAACCCACTGCATTTCTTTTTGTGGGGCGCTTTTAAACAACTAGTGTATGGTGAACAAATTAATACTGTTGATCAGTTACAAGAACGAATAGATAATGCGTTTCATCAAATTCAATCCGCAACAAATTTTGCGGAAAAGATGCCGCACCTTTATCCGTCAGAATGGTAGTATTTTTGAACATTATTTATTGGAATAAAGCTTTATCTAATTCGTTTTTTTTATTTTACGAAAACAATGCACTCTAGGAAAAAACACAATAGTAATTCCTTGTAGCAAATTGAAGGTAAAGTTCGAGTTATTGCGCGTTTCGAAAAAAAACAGTGGGGTACTGTTTTTATTTTGAAAAATAATGCTACTAATCCCCTGTATCTCCGCCACTGGTGCGCTTAATTTTAAGTAAGGACTTTTGAATGTGGACAATACTTAGGTAAATCCACATACCAAATTTTAGTTCATTCCAGTTAACGGTTTTGAAGGTATTAAAAAATGTTTTTTTATTTTTAAACTTCAACACCCCGTATCTTTTTAATGAAGCCTCAAGGAAAAAATGTTACATAGAAGACCCCTCTTATAATGCGGTCGTGTGTATGATGTTTCATTGTTGGTCACGACTTGTAAGTCACCCAAATTACCTTGTTATACAAAGCTTCGATAGCCATCGATAAGATAAATGGATTTTTAGCACCCAAAAGTTGCAAAAACTTACAGTTTTGCAATTTTTCGCAAAATAGATCTACATGTTCAACGGGATTAGATACATATGAAATAACTTTAGATTCGGCTTTGGCAACCCAAAATACGTACGATAGAGGTTATTTAAACCGCGCTTAAAGCATTTCAGTTTTTAGTGGTATAATGTCCTAAAATTGAAAAAATGAGTAAGTCGAGAATGTGAACTCAACCACAGTTTTTGTAATAATATTCTACAGTTAACTGCAGTTTTTTCCAAGCTCATATACAGTTATTCTCTCGGATGGGGTTGGCGACGCTGGTGGTCGGTGACCTGTCGGTGGCTGTGTTTGGGATCCGGTCATGTGAATTTAGTCTATATAGCGTAGCAGAATGAGCGGAATTTGTGTGGCAAGACAACATGGCTTTACGAGAATAAAATATTCCATGCCTATTTCTTTTATGAAAAAAAAACAAAGTTTTACTATATAAATATATTTAATATCTATTTGATCTCAAATTACATGATCATTAATAGGAGAACTATGATTTTCATCCTCCCTACTATTTATTAGGGGAATATGGTTTTTGGTGACTGCATTCGCACTTGGGCGAGGGAAACCCCTAGAAAACCTCGGCCGTCACTGCTCAGAGTAATTGTATCAGGTGAAGAAAAATCAAGTCGTTCCACAATTCTGGGCTCATTTGGAAAATCGAAAATCTATAATCCACCAGCATGCCACAGTTATTTACCTGAAAAAAAAGGTGGCATTGAAGTAACGGTTTCTACGAGTGTCAATTTTTAAAGTAAGAACCGTTTTGTATTCGAGTGGGAGAAATTTTATTTATGAATGTAAATAGTATTACAATTTAAAATATGATCATTTTTTTCATTTTTAACACAGTCACGATAAACATTTACAAGTCAAGACCAGTTTTTGGTTATTGTAGCATCTGAAACTTTTATCCTGTGGTTTTCATGTCGACTATTTCCCTCGTCTTAATTTCTACCAAACACAAACGCGCAATTTTGAATAACAAATGGTTTCTAGATGGAAAAATTGTCTGCAGTTTTTTCGAGTTTACCCGCGGCAAAACTTGTCACCAAAAATTGCAATATGATTGATTGATAACAAGTAATTATGGTCTCCTAAAACACCAGAAAACGACGATAAACAGTTTTTCCGATTTTATTGCCAATACATTTTGTCAGGTATGTGTCTGATATGACTCATGAAATAATCTTCTCAAATACCATTCGGGCATCTAATTTTTTCCTGGCGTCTTCGACTCGGATTTTTGTTGCCAGCACTCATCCTTCTTGTTAAAATATTACTTAACAATATGTTTTTTCGATTTTTTTCGGAAAAATTTAGATGCCCTTATGATATTACTTATGATAATCCCCCAAATTTCTTTCGCCAATCGAAACCACATGTGTTGAAAAAAGTCTTTATTGTAAACGTTTCCGTAACAACTGTGACATTCTTCAGTACAATGACTTTGACGATATTTTTTTTATGTGTCTTCCAGGTGACACCTGTGTTTTTTCTTTTCATTTTTATATCCCTATACATTGTGTTACTACAATAGTATGAAAGGTCCTTTAACATGCTAAGATTTTTAGATGGCACCCCGCATAACCAGCATAGCCCAGGACAGCGATAAGCGAGCATGAGTTTTGGTAAGAAACATTAGCGCATAAAGACCGACACTATTTTTTTTTTGGAAAAAATTGAAGACATCATTAGAAATGATCATTTTTTATATAAAATTGATGTGAAACTATAAAAAATCGTTTTTTGAAAGGGGTAGATTAAAAACTAGCCGTGTAATGAGCTAAAGTAACAGTTCAAAATACATACCGTAAATGATAGTACTTAGGCCCGTATCGTCAGTCGTCCCTACAATTGTAGGGCGCGTTTATGGCCTCCTTGATTGTCATAGTCCTTTCTCTCCTTCAAAAATTTCTAGATTACACTTGTCCCGTGTCAGCGTCAGCGCTCTCCTATTGTGAAGATATGTTTTCTTTTTAAATTGTAGGAAATTTGAGGCTGATAAACCATGATATAACTCAAAAGCAAGCACAATTTGATGCAAATAGATGTTTGTGACATAACCTCAAAATAGAGCGCTGACACGGAGAAGTAGAAAACTATGACAATCAAGGAGGCCATAAAGGCGCCCTACAATTGTAGGGACGACTGACGATACGGGCCTTAGTAAACTGTGTAGAGGTGTTGCGTGGTGATTTTGTGATTTTTCCATGTCTTGAAATTCCTTAACGATTATTTTCTCGTATCTCCAATGAGATCAAAGTTTTTGCGTTTATAAGAAATATTTGAAAGTAGAAACAATTCTCTTGGCCCTTTTTTAATGTTCATTTTTCCAACCAAACTGATGGACCATGAGTTTTTTATAGCGGCGTAGTGAGAGGCTGGCCAAGAGTGTCCGAGATTGAACGGTCACGCTACAGGATGCGCAATTGGTTCTTACTTTAAAAACGCCCCTCGTAGTTCACTGACATCTTTCTGATAAGATTTGCTGAAAGGTTTCTTTTATGGCACCGCTGCTTTTTGCAATAGGTTTCAGAAGTTAGATTTCCTGATAAGACTGACTTATCGGGTAAGACGTCAGTGAAACATGAAGAATAAGTAAGTTCAAGATTATGTAAAAATACCTGTCAATTATTTCGATTATCAATTTAGTTGATATACATATAACTCTTTGCCTCGTCGTGTTAGTTTCCAATTATTTCCTTTAATGCCTTCTGAATTTCAAAAGTGGTATGGACATTTTTAGAAGCTTTTGTTTGGAACCTGACTGTATTTCGTAAAACTTCATCTATATATTGATTGTCGACCATACTACTATTATCCACAGATTTATCTACAAAGAGAGTTCACATAAGTATTCCCATTTAAATAACACCTCTGCTATTTTGAAACATCAAGTAGGTTGGCTCTGTATTTATTTATTTAAGTATAGTTTGAGTGGAATGCTTTTGGTCTTCTTAGGGTAAGTTTAGAAAATGCATCTCTAGGGCACGTTTCCAAGATCCTTAACAGTTCTATCTATTCTTCGGTGGTTCATGAAGTTCAAAACCAACCTTCTTGATGCCATACTCACCGATGCTTACCCTTTGAAAATTTTGATGTTCGTTTGACTGTTGTTTTCATGTCTTGCAGCATACTATAAATCGGGTCTTTAAACATTGTTAACATGATCCTATTGTTCCTATTCAACATCCACCCGGCTCGTGTATGCCCAATAAAACATTCATCTAGCTATCCAGGCAGAACAGTTTTTGGAACAGTTCCCTGTACAAATCATTATCATCAGTATTCATTATCTCACGTTTATCACGCTCAGGAGTGTCTACAGCGTATGCAATTCCTAAGTTGGGGGTGTCCCCCTCCAAAGCTTGATGAAAATATTTGAGCTATGATTCTGAAAGAAAGCCTGGAAGTTTTTGAACAGCAGTTTTGTAAAATACGTAAAAATACGGAATGTATGATCACATTTTAGCTAAAAATAGACATGTTAGTAAAATATGTACCTAATAGAAATAGTAAATACTAAATGTAAGCTAAAATTAAAATTATAATATATCATTATCATCATTATTTATCATTGTTCATCACCATTCCTGAAATACGAAACGTTCTTATTATCACCTAAAAGCTGAAACAAACTACGCTACGATTTTAAAAGTTAAATGATCATAGACAATAGACCTTTGAAATACGTAAAAATAAGAATTATGGTAACCCATTTTGCTTGTAAATATATTTTCTCAATAAAGGTGTTTTATCCAGATGTCGATAGTAAAATAAAAATAGTGAATACCAAATTTAACTAAAAAAACGTATAATAATAAATATAGGTTTGGAGACCATTGTGGGGCCACAGCCTGCCTCATACCTGTAATGATCTATTACTAGCCTCTCTATCACTAAGTATTACCAGAAATACTACTATTACTACTACTACTACTACTACTACTACTACTACTACTACTACTACTACCACTACTACTACTACCTTCTTATCTGGTTACTTAGCATCTACGGACACACTTATGAAACCTGAACTTTTCACATATCTCATCTCTGAAAAACACTGGACGATTTTACGTCAGCCACGTGTTTTGCAAGTCATCTCTTGGGAAATGATTAACCACACGAAAATGCCTCTTTATTATTTCGATTATCATTTCAATTGATGTTCATTCTGCATGTACCAGCCTGTGATCATATTCAAGAGGGTGAGGAAGTATAATTTTTGGAATGTTAGCTTCCCAAATATGTCCCTGAATGAAAATCGTGAACATTTTTAGAAGCTTTTGCTTGTAACCTGGCTGTAAATATTTCGCAAAGCTTCATAAATATATGGATATTAGACCATACTACTATTATCCACAGGTTTATCTACAAAGAAAGTTCACATAAGTACTCCCATTTAAATAATACCCTTGCTTATTTTGAAACATCAAGTAGGTTGATTCTTTATTTCATGGATAGTAGCATAAATACGAGTATAGTTTGAGTGGAAATCTTTTAATATTTTTAAGGTAAGTTTTGAAGATATATCTCTTGGGAACGATTCCAAGATCTTCAACCTGTCTAGTGGTTCGTCAAGTTTAAAACCAACCTCCTTGATCCCATATTCTCCAATGCTTACCCTGTAAAAATGCTAGATATTCGTTGATTGCTGTTTTCATGTATTGTAGCATACTACAAATCGGGACTTTGAACGATTTTCTATAGTTCCTATTCAATCTCTATCTTTATCCACCAACATTCATCCAGCTATCAAGGCAGAACATTATTTGCAACAGCTTTTTTATAACGCTCGGGAGTGTCTATAACCTGTGCCATTTCTGAAATGGGGAGTGTCCTCCCTCCAAAGCTTGATGAATATATTTGGGCTACGATTCTGGAAGGAAGCCTGAACGTTTTCGGACAACAATTCTGTAAAATATGTATAAATATGTCCAATCGCTTCTTAGCTAAAAGTAGATATTCGTAAAATTTGTACCTAATAGAAATGGTAAATACCAAATGTAATTTAAAATTATAATATATCGTTATCATTAATATTTAGCTTAGTTCATCACCATTCCTGAAATACGGAATGTCCTCACTCTCACCTAAAAGTTCAAAAAAACTAAGAAAAACCCTTGCGCTACGATTTTAAAGCATAAATAATCATAGACAACAGACCTATGAAATACACTATATTGATACTTAGCAGTATCCTTTTAAATTCTGGATCCCTGTTTAACAGCTCGGCCATGGACCCAGGGGAATTCCTTCCTTAACTTTCCCGCCTCTGCAACGGCATGATGGGGGGCGGGGCAGCATGAAGTGTCGTCCGACGCATTCGTCAACCATGTTCGCTATTCGCATTAGGTCAAATTAGTCAGTAGCGACAAGCGAGATAGATCGATGAAGTCGATCGATCTTACAAGTCAAGATCCGGCTCCCCAAAGTCTTCTTCCAACCCCGAAAAAGACGATGGTTCTACAGACCAAAAAAGCCCTCCGCCCTTTCATCGCTTGTTCTGTCCAGCTATCCTAAGGTAGTGTAGAAACCGAAGGAACATTGAAGACGCCCCTTCCAATTCTATCCTGTCGATCATGGACCTACATTTTTTCGAAGCTATGTGCAATGCCCCGATAAATTCAAGACATAAACGACAGCCTACCGAGGATAAAGGGGCTAGTCAACCTCTTTCGCCAAATGTCTCAATTCACACTAACAAACTGGTTGTATAAGGGAGTTGAACCTTATACAGCCAGTAGGTTCATCAATCCCTCATCTCTCGCTCTGTTCGGCTGAAAACCCTACATCAATAAGAAAACCCTAAATGCACTTACATTTCAGCTAACTCCTGTTGTCCCTGTGCTCCTGCATGCTCTGCGCAAGAGCATACTGTGTCTGAATCTCTCGATGTGCCCCTGCTTTTTCGCAGCAAGGCAAGGTGAAGAGTTGTATCTTTCTCTTGACGTGCCCCCACATCTCAGAGTGCCCAAAAAAATTCCCTAACATTTCCCTAGCTACTCGCTACTCCCGACCACTTGATTGGAGTTCTATGATGCAAACCTTTTTGTTGAAGCTTATGTCGTACATGACAATTCCGATTCTCTCTACTTTTAAAATTTGCAACCGTTATATTTTTCCTAACTTCTCAACTGAACTGACGCTTTTTCCTAGTGATCCCTAACTATCTAAATGGGGCACCCTGTCTGAGGAGGGCAGTATGAGGAGTCGTCCGCCACATTTGTCAACCATGCTCGCTCTTCGCATTGGGCAAAATTAGTCAGTAGCGACAAGCGAGATAGATCGATGAAGTCGATCGATCTTACAAGTCAAGATCCGGCTCCCCAAAGTCTTCTTCCAACCACGAAAAAGACAATGGTTCCACAGACCAAAAAAGCCCTCCGCCCTTTCATCGCTTGTTGTGTCCAGCTATCCTAAGGCAGTGTAGAAACCGAAGGAACATTGAAGACGCCCCTTCCAATTCTATCCTGTCGCTCATGGACCCAAATTTTCTCGGAGCTATGTGCAATGCCCCGATAAATTCAAGACATAATCGACAGCCTACCGAGGATAAAGGGGCTAGTCAACCTCTTTCGCCAAATGTCTCAATTCACACTAACAAACTGGTTGTATAAGGGAGTTGAACCTTATACAGCCAGTAGGTTTATCAATCTCTCATCTCTCGCTCTGTTCGGCTGAAAACCCTACACCAATAAGAAAACCCTAAATGCACTTACATTTCAGCAAACTGCCCTAGTCCCTGGAACAAGTAGAAACAGCATGACTATACACTACCCTAATAAAGGTCTCACTCTCACACTTGAGCAGGAAAGTCGGATGGAACAATTCTAGCGATCGTTTCGGCATATGAATAGCTATAAAAGCTGTTTTATGTAAAATAATTTACACTCGTACTATTTTCGTAGTTTGTTTTCATTGTATATTTTGTATTACCTCTTATGTTCTCTAATATTTGGTTACATAAACGAATATGAATAAGATAGTTCGCCATAACATATTGACACCTTTTATGAAAGCTGGTTCGCACGAACATGGAGAATACCCCTTGCTCGACTAGGCAGTCCGTGGAGGTACCAACGAAGAGCCACTGCCAATAACTGATCAAAATATGGCGAAAAATTGCCGTTAGACAATAAATAATCACCCTATTTTACCATATTTGTATCCTTGCCCTTACGGAGCATTTTTGCAAATGAAAAATTTCCAAACATTTCAGAAACCACTATCTTGCGGCAACCTTATAGTAAGCTATATTTTTATTGTTTTACAGTGTAAATTATAAATACAGGTGGTTCCGTAAGGAAAAAAATACTTTTGGGTTTTTTAAAGCTTAGTTTTTACTATGTACTCTTTTTTTACCACCCTATTCGTTACGTATACGTTACGTTTTCAAAATTTTTATTTGCCATGTACCTTCGAAACGAAGGCGTTTTTCGAAAACGATTTAAGGACAAAGCAACCTTTGAATAGACTGAAGAATTAGTCCTTGATTTTTTAGTGAACATATTGCCAGAGAAAGAAAATATTTCCTCTCAGTGAATTTAAGAGTGATGGGTAATATTGTCAGAATTTTTGAAAATAAAGATCTGGAATTTTGGGCTTGCTGCCAACAATGGACAACGGCACAACTATTATACAAAAAACAAAAAAAAACGTCAAAAAACCCGACGAAATGTCATATTGGAGACTAGGTAGTTTTTAGTGTGTAAACAGTTGATTCCACGTTTGTTTGCTATTCGTCTAATCATATCAGACGAAAATTCGCATGGTTTGCGAAATAATTGTAAAGTCTGGTTTTATTGATGCAAGTTATTGAAAGGGATATTTAAAACATAGACGCATAAAGTGGAAACACCAAGTTTTGTGGGGAAACTTCTTATTCGATAACAAAGAATGAGGAAACGGGTTTTTTGGGAATCAATCGAAAGTGTTGGCAGGAACGAAAAAACTCTTTTGATAAGATTTCACACACCCACTTGAAATTCTTAAAATCCATAGGCTTTAGATATACGTCTAAATAACCACAACAAAATTGCGTGTACTAAATTTCTGCATTCTTGATGACTTTGCCAAATAAATAGGTCACGTAATCCAGTTTCGTTACTTTTTCTAAAAAGTATTAGTACATCAGTTTTCGAAATCTCGTACGATTAAAACGGCTGCGAGCTCAAGATGTTGGAAACTGAGCTCGAAAAAAACGAAAAAATAGTAGATAAATATCAACCAATTGTAGCGAACTGACCGTCTGAAAAGTTAAGCAAAATGCTCCGTATTAGTCCCTAACACATTAAGTTTCAGTATTGTATCTTGTATAATTTTCAAGAGTATTCTAATTGTTTATAACAGATTTGATATGCCTGCAACATTCGCTTGACATTTGTCAGCTTCCAGTGTAGGGGCATAAAGATCCAGTAAACCAAGATACGATTGTATAACCGCAGATACGAATCCACAAAGCTCCTTTTTTCTTTTATTTTCTTAAATTTGGAGAAATAAATGCTTTTTCACATTATTTGTTCTTTTATTGCATGATTGTTTATATATATATATATATATATATATATATTATATTACTTTGTTAAAATTCCAGAAGCACTATGACGGATCATAGCAGATCATTTATGAAAACCTAGATCTTAGATGTTAAAATTATTGACAAACAATAATGAAAGACATTAGAAATTTTGTTTGTCATAATACGCTGTAGTTTTCGATACGGTCAAATTAGGTACCTCTAGGAGCCGCATAGGATGCTTATAAAATTAAGTGAGCTAACCCACAGTTTTTGTATTTATCAAGTTACTGTTGAACGTAGATGCTCATTTCATCAACAACAATATAAACCTTCGTTATTCGCATAAAAATAACAATTATCTTTCGGAATGATTTGTGATTCATGTCGGCGGTAAAGTGATGGCCGAAAGACAGGTGTTTTGGGATAAACAATTATAAATTCTCAAAAACTACTTGACCAATCGACTCCAATTTTGTTGTGGTCATTCAGAAGTATGAAGCCTACGGATTTGAAGAATTTCAAGTGAAATTCTCGTCACATTAGCAACAAGTGCCAAAATCTGCATTTTGCCTCGGTTTTCGGCCGTAACT